GGGGGCTATGAATATTAAGGATTTTAGACCTATTAGCTTGCTGCATAGTTTTTTTTTATAAAATCTTGGCGAAAGTTTCTGACATAACGACTGAAAGGGGTGATAGGTAGTATCATTTCAAATAATCAAAGTGCTTTTGTGTCAGGCAAACAGATGGTCGATTCAAATTTAATTGCCAATGAGTTAATTAACTCTAGGAGAAGAGAGGGCATCCCAGGGGTTGTTTGTAAACTTGATATTGAGAAGGCATATGACTACATCAACTGGAATGTTTTGATAAGGTGCTGGAATGCATGAATTTTTTGACAGAAGTGGAGAAACTAGGTCAATGTTTATACCAAGACCTCTAAATTTTCAATCCTAATTAATGGGCAATCCACGGGGTTCTTTGGTAGCTCTAGGGGCCTAAGGCAAGGGGATCCCTTGTCTCCTTTGCTATTCATTTGTGTTATGGAAATCCTCGCACTTTTTAGTAAGAAGGTTGCATATTTTGGCTTGTAGGATGGATTTGCTATCTCCCCAAGAAAGGAGAAAGTTAATATCTTTCAGTTTGCAGATGATACTCTTTGTTTTGTGGATGCCTCTCTTCATCAGTTGGACACAGTGCTTGAAATTCTGAGTTAGTTTGAAGTGGTATCGTGTCTCAAAGTCAACTTGAGTAAAAGTAAAATCATCCCCGTGGGCCAAGTATAAAATTTGGATGATTGTGCACAAGTGATGGCTTGCCATATTGAGTTCCTCCCGGTAAAGTATTTGGGGCTGCCTCTTGGGGCCAAATTTTATTCCTCCTCAATTTGGTGCCCAATCATTGAGAGAATGGAGAATTAATTGGCCTCTTGGAAGGCAAAATATTTATCTTTTGGTGGTAGGGTTACATTGATTAAGAGTACTCTATCCAACCTCCTAACATATTTTCTTTCTCTATTTCCAATTCCAAACAAAATAGCAAAGAGGTTGGAATATCTCCAAAGGAATTTCTTATGGAGGGGTTGGGAAGACAGAAGAAAATTCACATTGTCAATTGGAAGCAAGTGTGCCTTCCTAAGGATGTGGGTGGTTTGGGAATCAGGAAATTGGAAGAATTTAATTATGCTCTTCTTAGTAAATGGATGTGGAGATTTGCTTCTGAGAGGAAAGCATGGTGGAAGAGTCTTATTGTGGCAAAGTATGGAGTGGTATGGGGCGATTGGAGAACTCTTGATCCCCTTCCATTTGGGGGTAGCTCTCTTTAGGCAGGCATCTCCAAGTACAATACTCTTTTTATGAATGGGATCAGTTTTAAAGTCAGTAAAAAGAGATATAATTCAGTTTTGGATGGACTCCTAGTGTGTGGAGGGTCCCTTGGCTAAAGCCTTCCCTCGTTTGTTCCAAATTCAGTGAATCAAGATTCTTCAATTGCTAATAACATTTGCATCTCTGGGGATTCTTTCACTTGGACTCCTCTCTGTAGGCGGAACTTGTTAGATTGGGAAGTGGAATCCTACCTGCCCCTCCAAAGTTAACTTCCTGGTTTGGACAATGGGTCTAGGTAAATGTTTAATTGGGATTAATTTGGAGACAAGGGGTGTTCAGATTCTTGATCCCTCTTGTGTTTTATGTAGAAATTGTGCAAAATCTACAAAGCATTTGTGTATACATTGTCTGGTTTCCTCTTCAATTTAGGGATATTTTTTCAATAAACTGGAGGTTTATTGGTCTATGCCAAAGTATGTGAAAGAATTGCTAATGGGTTGGAGAATGGAGGGTCTTAGCAAGAAAGGTAATCTTGTTTGGAATACCATTCTGCATGTTGTTCTTTAGTCCATTTGGAATGAAAGAAACAACAAAATCTTCTACAATCAATCTAAAAGCCCATAAGAGGTAGTGTAGAAAGCGGTGAGGAAGATTTGTTCTTGGGTGTCGGTGAATGAGGAGTTTAAAAATCAGAATCTCATTTATTTTGCACTAAATCATGGATGTACTTGTAATTTGTTTTGGGCCCAGGTAGACATAGTGGTCTGGGCCTTGTTGTAATCTTCATTATCTCTGAATGAATTACTTTACCCTTTTTCCAAAAAAAAAAATTGAAGAATGACTTCACAAATGGCTCTTCAACAGTAGGATGCCAAGATCGTAAGACATTTTGTAGGTAATGCAAAACAGATTGCCAAAGAAGCATGGGAGAGGTGGACGAAATGGGGGTATCATAGAAGTAAGAATAGGGAGGGATCATGTTCCTTTATGTGTACGCATTTACATTTGGTGTTGTAGTCATTTTGCCATGTACAAGCATAATGGATAGTTTGCATACATGTTCAACACAAAACTGCTATTAAAACTATAGAAGCTAGACTAAGATGTTAATTTCCATGTTCTACTAGGTGCGTTTAATTCCTTTATGTGTTGGCTTTATTTTTGGTTTGAAGCTTTTGTTCAAGTTCATTGTCGACTTATTAATGATGATTGGATAGGTGTTTGACATCGGTGCTGGGAACATCACACCGTTTTTTAGAAAACGGTGCTTATTTTTTGTTTGGAACTGATGCTACCACTTAGGCTGTTTGGTGAGAAAACAACACTAGTTTTGTTTGATACTAGTGATGGCAACAACATTTTCAACATGGCTTATATTATCCAATGTCTAAGATGATGTCACATCATTGCACCGTTAGCAGCAACACATTGTTGGCATTGCTCTATACCACACTTTCCTAAAAAAAAAGGTACCAAACAAGTGGGCATTGTTTGAAATACCGCTTTCTTTGATGTGGCACCTACGTGGTGCATGATGCCAAACACTCATTGGGGTTAGAGCAAAGTGGTTATTTTGTTAATGATGATTGATGACACGGGCTTCTAATTAAAATTTTAGATTACTGATTGTACCACAATTCTTTATTAATAAATTAATATTATATTAAAATGTTTGGCGAGCTGGATGACTAGAAAACAAAACTTTGAAATGATAATTTGATATCCTCGTTTATTGGTATCCTTGGGCCTAGGGGCATTGAATTTGCTTCAATGCAAGTATGAGAGGGAGGCTAGATGGAAATGCAGCAGTTAACATGTGAGGAAGGATGTCAATGGACCAGTTTTGGATTGGACCTTGTACAGTCCAAAATCAAATTGGATGGATTGGATAGATCAACAAGACATTGGATTGGACGAATCCAGTACAAAATATGTATTAGATTGGATTGGACGTAGTCCATTCATAATAAATTTATATTGGATTGGGTTGGATTAAGCCAATATCTGGTCCATTATAAGATAGGGATAGGTGTCAATGGACTAGGTTTGGGTTGAAACCAATTTGAATTAAAACAAATTTGAACAAATTAGATGGTCAAGACATTGAATTGGACCGATCCAAAATTGTTCAAAATATTTGTTGAATTGAATTAGACCTGATCCATTTGTAATGGAATCACATTGGACTGGATCGTATTGGACAAAACCCTTCCACATTTATGATTCTGGTTTATTGGTTGGTTGTTTTTTGGATATTATATATTTTCTGTATCATAGTCGAAATTAACCATAGAGTTAATAAAATTTAATTAACAATACATTTTAATTGGTCGTTTCCATTGTTTTAGTACTCTCACTGAACAGCAAATTTTGGTTAACATCTAAGAAAATTAATTGACTGCTTGTACATTACCAATTAATATAATTAATAAACGTTTGAATTTTCCCATGCATCGTATAGGCCCCACTAGTATTCGATATGGCGTGTTGTTTACGGATTGTTAGAAACTCGGATACTTTTGAACCTTAAATACCATTGGTCTATAATTTGAATAGTTCATTGGCCAACCACTTAGAAAATCCTCACAAAATATATATAAAATGATAAAATAACACATGGTTTTGAAAATCAGATCAGATTGGATGATCGGATTGGTTGACCTAGTAACTGGTTAGGCAATCAATTCCGTTTCACCTTAAAATTGCTTTTGGGTAAAAAATCATTGATTTGGTTAGTGATCCATTGATTTGGACAATTAATCCATCAATCTGAGCAATGGGTTTTGGCATTTTTTATTTGTTTGAATCAAAGGGCCATCCGTTCAAACCTGATGGTAGGACTATTTGACTTGGGAACCAGTTTCTAAAAATGGTTCCGTTTTCGGTCCGATTTTAAAACCTTGAAATAACCAAATGTTTATAGGTTGAATATAATTAGCATTAAACCCCCATTTTCCCATGTTCTTTTATTTTTATAAGACAATGACTATTTTAGCTAGGGAAAGTCATCTATTGGAAGGGGCAATTTTGTCCCAACAAAGTGTTGGTGACTTCCCCCATGTGGTAAAATTACCCTTATGGGAGATATGCATCACTTACTCAGGTAAGTGATACATTGATACCTAGTGAGAAAAAAGAAAATGGGTTTTTTGTCCAATGGAAACAACTGTTCTCCCTCCCAAAATACGAACAGACCCTAAATTTGATTGCCAAGAAAGTTAGAGAAAAAAGATAAACATTTATCTTTTTTTATTTTTCTGATAGATCAGGTTTTACACACAGATAAACAAGGTTCCACCGAGATTTGAACTCGGGTTACTGGATTCAGAGTCCAATGTCCTAACCACTAGACCATGGAACCAGTTGACAAAGAGGTCAAAACATTTCTTTTTATTATCTACATGCAATAAAAAGATCAAAGAATTTATCTTTCTATTTTAGTTTAGGCAATATCTACAATGCCGAAAAGGTAAGGGTGATATCGAAATAACTTTGACCAATCAGAACCAAGTTAGTGTATCCTGCCTTTCCAAATCGAACCAAGTTAGGTAGATATAATAAATATTATATATTATATTGGCTTATTTGGTTTTTGGTTCGGTTCGATTGGATTTTTTCTCAAATCGAACCAAAAAAATCGTAAACATTAAAATCGAATCGAACCGAATCTGCTTATTTGATTTTGTTTTCGTTTGGGTAGTCGATGGAGCGCCTCTAACCGTTCAAAAAGAACCTAACATGGTCCAAAATTCGAAAGCTCACAAAAAATCAAACACTATACCAGCCAGCAGCCACGAACGAGGGAAGACACAGTCCCCAAAGTCCAATCTCTCTCTCTCTCTCTCTCTCTCATATTCATAACGAACTATGGCGATATTGTTTTTCCTTCCCGCCTCTTCTACAACCCCCATTTCGTTTAAACCGCGAGAAGGTAGCTCTACAAAACAAAATCTTGCGAGAACTCATCAATGGCGACAAACGATCTCTGCGTGCTTGACGAGCACAAGCGAAACTACGCTAGCCAAAGACGATCTTCTAGGGCTGATTTCAGGCGAAGACAGAGGGCTTAAGACCGAGGGAAACCCTTCGAAGCGGTCGAAGATCATCAAAGCAATCGATGCCATGGCGGTTCTCGGGAAGGATTCAGTTACTACTGGTTCTTCGCTTTCCGCTACATGGAGGATGCTTTGGACTACCGAAAAAGAGCAGCTTTTCATCATAAAGAATGCTTACCTCTTCGGGACTCAAACTGGGGATGTCTTACAGGTCATAGATGTAGAGAGAGGTCTGCTGAACAATGTAATCACTTTCCCTCCGGATGGCGTTTTCTTCGTTCGATCAAACATCGAAGCTGCTTCGTCTCAAAGAGTGAATTTCAGGTATTTGTTTCCCTATAATGTATCAATTGTTTCTTTACTTTTCTCCTATTAATTTTCTTGAGTTTGCTTATTTTGGGCAGATTTACAAGCGCGGTTCTTAGGGGGAAGAATTGGGAGTTCCCGTTACCACCGTTTGGGCAGGGATGGTGAGCGAGTTTCTAGTTTTATTTGGTTTGGAATTTAAATTGAGTTATGTATTAAATCAGAATTTTATTGGTGACGCAATTATAATTGCTTGTTGTGAGATTTTTTTCCCTGAACACCATTCCCCTTCTCTACTATCAAAAACTCCTTCAAGACCCCAATCCAAGTCACCCAGTGAGTCGCCAACTTTGAAGCTACATCTGAATATTGTGGTGTTTAACATTACTTCAATAATTAGGAACTTCAAACTCAGAAAGAATTTTGGCAATGATCTGTCAAGATTACAAAGGTGATATTTTGCCTAATAAAACAGCAAATGGTTTGCACTAAGTTGGCTGTGTTTTCTTTATTCAGTAATGGGCATAATGGCACTAGTTGTTGTCATCTTAGTTATTTCATATGCTTTATGTTATTTACTGGTTCTGCCTGCAATTCAATTAAAAGTTTTGTTTCCATTTCTTAATTATGCAAAACTTTTGGTAACTAGTTTCTGTATACTAGTGCAATATGTAATATTTTACACCTTTTCCCTATATCTCCCTTTTTTTATTCTTTTAAACTATCAGTTTATTACTCAGTTAAGAATACACTATTGACAACGGGGAACTCCTGAACTGACACCATCATTCAAAATAGGGACCATAAACAACCCATTTGGTACTTCTAATTAGGGGTGTTCACGGTATGGTTTGGTACGATTTGTATAAGATCTCAAACCAAGCTAGTAAATTACAGTTTGAGAAATTCTCAGACCAAACCAAACCATTTTAAAATAGAAACCAAAATTGGTCTGGTTTCTAATACGGTTCGGGCCATTCAATTGGGCTTAACCCAATTAGAAATCCCAAATGACATGCATACCTACATAAATAACAAATATAATTCAAATACCAAATTGAAATGTTAACAAGTGCCACCTATTACTATTAGTCTATTATATGAATTACATTCACACTTTATCAAACATAAACAGCTCTTTGGGCATCAAATTACAAGTTAAAATTGAAACAAAAAACAACAATGTATGAAGTACTTACATAGTTAGGAGTTATGAAATATGTTTAAATGTTAAATGAATACTATATATATATATGTTTAAACATATGCATTATATATTATATACATTAATAAATATAATAATTCAGTTTACTGTTTGGTCTGGTTTCTGAAATTCAGGAAACTGGACAAAACCAGAAAAATATGGTCTGAGAAATTCTCAGAGCAAACCAAACCATTTTAAGGCCAGACCAGACCAAACCACCAATTTCAGTTTGGTTTGGTGATCTGAACCATATAATGAACACCCCTACTTCCAGTTTGTTTATTAAACCTGAATCCTTATCTCAATTCATTTAGGTGGTAGATTTCATACATAAAGGAGTATAATTTGTTCCTTTTATAATTTTAGGTATGTCCTGGAATTCCATATGGGTGGGGGATTCAATTTTACGTACTCTGACACAATTTCCACTGAACAGATAGCATCTTTCAAAAGGAATGGTCAACTTGACATCCATAAGGTCTCTAATCCATGGATCCTCCGATTCAAATGCTCATGATTTATTCCTCTCCAGTGATGTCACTGACTTCTCTTGTTGGTTAAAAGATGCCATTCACTATTATAGTTGGTTAACCAGTTTCATAGAATCTTCTGTAAATCTTGTTTATAGCTAGCTCTATGCTTAAGGGGGTAGGAAAAAGTAAGTAGTGTTGTAACTTTAGGGTCATATATTTTGTGGACAATCTATTTGAGACAACTTGCATTTAGAACTTAGAAGTAGCTAAATCCCCAAATGCTTTTTCATTGTACAAAGTTTGAGCATGAGTTGTGAGTTTGTTTTCTCCTGTAGAATGAGACACATAGAAATAGTCTTTATGGGAGGTTAGCATACGGTGCATACCCCAATTTTTTGCTGCATTGTATTGGCTTGGATTTTTTTTTGGTTCCATGGGACTACACGATGAGG